ATTGAGATACTAAATGAGGAATCCTAACCTAATTAACTAAAAAAAAATTGGATGTTGAATAGTGGGTCATGGACCCGAATTGGGGCATCCAGAGTGGGTCGACCCAAGTAAGAAATGCTTAAAAGGCGTGACTTTTAGAGATTTTTTTATCACCCAAAATACATGTATGTTAAATATAACAGATATGTCCTTATAAGATGTGTCTCTTCATAACACCTATTAATTGCTTATATAAATTCATGACAACCCAATAGAAAAAAAGACGGTAATTTCAAATTCTGAAGAGAAACGTGAAACATCCTCCAACAATTCAAGGTTAAAACAATTGAGGCATGTCTTTTGATTTTACACTTCCGCATATGTATACAATTTTCAACAATAAAAATAGACCCTAAAAACCCTTGTTATCATTATGCTTATAGCAGAAGATGATCTTACATGCAATGGGGGATCCATAGTGGGGCTAGCTGCCCCCACTGGAGTTTTAAAAAAATTTGGGGAATAAGTATAATTTTAAAATTTTTTGAATTTATTAGAGATTTGCCTCCACTGTTTTTTTTTAAAAAAAGATATAAGGGTAGTTATGTAATTTTGATAAATATATGGGTCTTACTTGTAATGTAAAAATGATTTAAGGATAGTTATGTTAGATGATATTAGCAATTTGAGAACTTAAAGATTAACTAATATGTTATAAAATTGGTTGGTCTCTCCTCTTTTTTATGCTTATATGTTAAATTAAATTTGAAGGTGGTAGTTCTCTGATTTGTTTTATGTTTATATATTAGAATTAAAAATTTAAACTTTAATCCTCTCCTCTGGTTTATTTTTTACATGTCGAATTGTCATGGTTTTTTCACCTCTGAAATCCTGAAAAACCGGACCCATGTATGGGGGGGGTGATGGGGGTCCTACACTCAGTACTATTGATTCACAGACCATGTGAGATTGTGGAAAACAGTGTTCAAAGACCACCCTCAGACAGTACCCTCCTTGTTATTGTATTAAGTACTGGATTATGACATCTGGGCCGAAGAAATTAATTGCACCGACAAATTAAATATAAGAGTTAATGGCTGAGAAATACTTTACTTTGTTTGTTTATAATTTAACAATGGGGAATTTCTTGCATAACAATTTGATGCGGAGAATATTTACTTAGGATGATACTTTGCTTGGAATAAAACTTGCTTTTTTATGTGGTGTGTGCAGGGGCGGAGGCTGGGTGGGGGCAAATTTCCTTCACTGAAATTCTGAAAATTTGTAGAGTTAATTTAAAATTATAATAAAAATTAATTTTTTTAATCACTTGCTCCCACTCATTTTTTTTTAATGCACTAAAAATTTAGACTCAAGGTTCGCTCGTAGAGACTTAATCTCAAATTTTTATTTAATCTCTAGTTATCTTTATTCCTTCTACAATGACTCACTTGAGTTATCGAATCAATCCTTCTCCGAATTCGATTACTAAGACATAGATATATATTTTTGACCAATTATCCAAATTCAAATATACTACATCATTTTCTAAAATTTTAGATTTGGGCGCATAAAAAAATTTGATTTAATTATGATTCAATTCAATTGACTTCGATTCAATTTGATATGCATATACAAATATGTATATGTAAACATTTGATAAAACTAAACAATTAAATTGAATTAAAATTACAATGCAACACACACACACACATATATAAGATTGGATTTTTGATAAAATTCATAATATTTAATAGATTCGAATATGGATTAAAAAAACGAAATCAATTGAATAATTAGATTAGATACAAAATAGGGTTTTCAAAACAAATTGTCATTCGGATGAGTCAAAATCTTATCATTGACAAGTACACTTATAAAATGATATGTTAAAATAGCATTTTCTATGAAAACTGTCTTTATTCTAATGTTTTAAAAAAAATTATATTAATTTTTCATAGTCGACTATCATTTTTTCACATGTATTTATATGTGAAATCTTTAAAAGTTAAAAAAATAATGTGAATTGTTATTTTATAAAAGGTGTTAGATTAGGAAATTTTTTTATATAGAGAACGAAATTTTGAGATAATAAATATGTTCACTAGATGCAACGAATTTTGATAATTGTTGAATAATCATTCTCTTAAACTTGATGGTTGTCTGCGGTTCTCTTAAACTTGATGGTTTCCCCCACTGAAAAGAATTTTTGGCTCCGCCCCTGTGTGTGTGTGTGTGAGAGAGAGAGAGAGAGATGGGATGGAGGGTGCGAAAGGTATCAATGTGATGAGTAAGGCTCGTGGGGTGAAAGATATGAGGTGATTAGGTACGCTTCTCTTCACTTTTATTAGAACCGGAGAATCTTTGATTATTTATTGAGTGGTTGTTGGGGTCAAATTCAATTTGGTATTTGATGATATCAAAAATTAGTCGAGCTTATAAGGTTTGATCCCAGCGCGCGGGTATTTAAGTTCAAACCTGTAGTTCATGATCATTAGCTCGGGATGTACAGGTCAGGACTCTTCAGCAACGAGACCCTCGTGCATGCGATAACTATAATAGTTGGCACCCTCCACAAGGTCACGTCACGAATAAGAAATATAATATGTGATGGCCAAATATTCTGGCACATGGATCATAACCGCCTCAAGGGAAATCATGTTGATTATGTTAGGATGACATTAATTACGGAATGATAGCAAAGATCACACAAGACAATTGTACACTATAAATAGTTATTAAATCCCTCACATTTAGAATCAAAAAATTATTTGTGAATCTACTCCGTGTAATCTTTTTCCTCATTAATAAAGAGCAAGAGACTCCATTAGAGTGAACTAGTTAAGTTTTCGAGCTGATGAACTAGTATAAATTCTCTATCTATCCATTTTCTATTTAATTGGATCTATAACTCAACCCCCAAGAGCCTAGAAGCTCTGACCGGACACTCTAATGATCTCCAAATCTCTTAATAGTTCACCTTTGCTTAGCTGTGCAAAACACACCATTAATATTGATTTTAAAAATTCAAAGTATTTTGAAATAAATCGAATTTATTCATATGCGTAAATCTTGAACATTTAAAATTTCAAAAAGTGTTAAATCCTTCAATTCTTAATGAAATTGAAAAAATCCCATGATAAACTGAATGTCTTATTCTTATAGTTTTTTTTCTCAAACTTTCTCAGCTCCAATGTTAAAATTCCCATGATACAACGGTACAACGATGTTACAACATGATAATGAACTTTCCTGCTTATCAGGGAAGAAAATTGAACTTTCCTTGTACTTTCGAGTATAAATTTTTTATTTTGGGTTGGCAAGTAGGAAGTTTCTTTGCTTTTATGTTATTTCACCTAGGAAGGGAATCATGTTATTAAGTATGTATATTGTATACTATTGTTACAATTAATTTAGAAGAGAGAGATTGAAAAAAAAATTCTTGTCATTTTCTATTTTTTAAAAAGAATTCATTTATTATACCAAAAGGTTTTATCCAATTCCATTCATCTGCATGTCCCATCTGACCACCCTTCACCCAGTATTTTGTTTGTTTTTTTTTTAACAGTCAGATGTGTTCGGGTCAGTTTACGTACATTTTGACTAATCTTTTTCGTGGTTTGATCAAAGACAGACCGTCCACGTCACGACTAGTGTCTAGTGTATTCATAAGAGATAAATTCCTTATGACCTGCCCTAAAAAATTGCCAAGATTCAAATTTAGAACATTTGTATTTACAACTTTACCCAAATATTATTTTAATTTTTATATACTGTACATGTCCATTATACGCATAATGAATAGTTTATTAGGTATGCTATTCTCTTTGATTTTAAAGCATGTTGTTTATTATAGGTTGTTTCCCTTTTATAGAGTGAATTACTACTAATAATAAGTCTATAACAAATATATCATCCATAAATAGAATTCAAATTGCAAGAACAAGGCATTCCCATAGCCCAAATTTCACTCCATGATTTTTTTTTTGAGCAGCCATTTTCACTCCATGATGAATCTCTTGTTGTTCAACCCTTTGTTTTCTAAATTAGCATATTATGTAAAATACATGATATTTTATTTTATAGTCAAAAGTCGATCCAGTCCCATACTTTATAATTCATATTTATTATGTGAACTCAACATGCATACAACTAAACTTGTCAATGGATTATATTTCAGTCCAAATCCAATTTGAACCCAAATCCTTTTAACTAAATAGTGATCAATATTCTTAAATATCTTAAATATGATATGAATATATATACACAAATTTGATGCGATAAATTTTGATTCAATTAATATATACATATAATATATTAATATATATATATATATATATATATATATATATATTTATATTTATATTTGATCTTAAAAACATATTTATTAAAATTTTGGTGAAATACCATTATGGATTGAATGTCTGATTATAAGATGATTCGAATCAGAACTAATATTTTTTTATTCGTCAGGTAAACAGATTAGAGTCGATAACAAATTTTTTAATCGAATTCAGATTCAAATGGGAATAAATCTGGTTCGAATCTAATCCATTGACAGGCCTTCATACAACCATATAAATTATTTCTCACCAAACTCATATCTAAAATTTGTAGATATTAATCAAAACATTATCATTTCAAAAACTCAAATATGGTCATAGGAATTATTTGTACATATGTTGTAAAATATACCGTTAATATATCTAAATTTTATGTTGGTGGGTCATGATTTCGGAACTAATCACAAAATGACACGTAATTTTTTTAAAAAAATCAATTATCATAAATGACTCAAATAAAGATGTAATTTGATAAAATAATTATTTTAATAGAGGATTTTTGAAACTCTACTTAATCCTATGTTAGATAATCCGACTGTAATTTGTTGCAACCTTTGGAATAAATACTGTGGCGTGTGAAAACTCGCCAATGGACGCAAGACTAAATACTGTAAGACTGACTGACCACTTGACGATATGTGTTATTCTTTTCTTTTCTATTCTATTATTTATGGAATCTAACTGCCCGCTAAAATATCTGACTGCTGCCCGTTGCCAGTCCCTATTTCACCATCTCTCTGACACGGTCAACTGCCCGCCCTTCCCCCAATCCCCACCATGGGCAGCTCCAAACTCCAATAAACCCCTCCTTCAAGCGCCTCCCTCATTGACGACACTACTTGATTGTAAAACTTCACCATTCAGCCACCACCACCTACACCAAAGGTGGTGCATGAAATATGGTGGAGTTCCTCCGTTGGGATTGACGGCGCCACCACTGACATCTATACATATATAAGCTTGAGAGAGAGGGTGGACGAAGAATGGGTCAGGGGCTTAGTTGCAGAACAAGTGATGAACATGGTCTTTTCACAGCTGTTCAGTTCGGGGATTTAGATACGGTTGAGGCCGTGTTAGAGAGAGACCCGTCTCTTATTCACCGGACCACAGTGTTCGACCGCCACTCTGCTCTTCATATCGCTGCTGCCAATGGCCGGATCGAGGTTGGTTCTTGGAATTTTTCTTGATTTTTGATCGAAATTGAATGTTTGTCATTCGTTTTGATGGGTTTTGAGTAATGGGTTTTCTTTTGTATGGGGCCGGATTCAGATTGTTTCAATACTTTTGGATGGATCTGTTAATCCAGATTTGTTGAATCGACACAAGCAGGTGAGCCTTTTGCGCCTTTATGCTTGATTTGGTTAATGAAGCAATTGTAGGGAAAGGAAAGATTGAATCTTTTCCTTTTAGGTTCCTAAGCGTGCAAGCCTACGATATTTTATTCTTTTTGTTTTTCTAAATGATTTATCCTGTGGTTACTTGTCTAATCTTTGATTTTCGTCTCACTGTCTGTTCTCTCGCTGGTTTTGAACGGTATAGACTCCGTTGATGTTGGCTGCAATGCATGGGAAGATCTCTTGTGTGCAAAAGCTAATTCAAGCTGGGGCCAATGTATGCCACATTCCTCTCTCTCTCTCTCTCTCTCTCTCTCCTCATACTCTTTGTCTTTAAGAGCGTTGAAGTGGAAACTGATGTGTCTATATTTTTTGAAATTGAGTCAGATTTTGATGTTTGATTCACTAAATGGACGAACATGCTTGCACTATGCTGCATACTACGGCCATACTGATTGCCTCCAAGCCATTCTCTCCGCTGCCCACAACTCCCAAGTTTCCATTTCTTGGTTTGTTTCTCTTTCTAGATTGATTTTGTGTTTCTTTCTGTTTATAGACCGATATGCCAATTTATCATCATTAATTCAGATGAATTGAATTGGGTTCCAGGGGATTTTCTCGATTTGTGAATATTAGAGATGGTAAAGGAGCAACCCCATTGCATTTGGCAGCTCGTCAAAGACGGCCTGAATGTGTGCATATTTTGTTAGACAATGGTGCCCTGGTTTGTGCCACGACTGGTGGATACGGGTATTATATTTGAAATGTCTTTGTTTTCTTTAGCTATGGCATTAGTGTGGCTTTTATATTGATAAGTTGCAATATACAGATTCCCGGGTAGTACTCCACTTCATTTGGCTGCAAGAGGGGGTTCCTTAGATTGCATCCGTGAATTGTTGGCCTGGGGTTCTGATCGACTTCATAGAGATGCATCTGGGTAATTTTCCATTCCCTCTTAGTTGTTGAAGCCACAATATCTAGACTCGTGTAACTGGTGTAATTACATATCCTTGTAATAAATGGAGATTAAGTAATCCTGTGTCTTGGATCAAAAAAAAGAAAGAAAGTAATCCTATGTCATGTTGCTGGATATTCATACTAATTCCATCAAATGTTCATCCTTTCTGAAATGGATCTTATACAGGAATACAAGTTCAAAGCATAAAGATTTTCTACTTTTTTTTTTGGTCCAAACTCCTGATCATTAATTCCGATATTGTTTTAATATGAATACTAGTTTGTACATGTTAATTTATAATATGCTGCTTGATAAGTGATTTTCATTCATGGGTGCACTGTACAGTTGAAATACTTGTTGATTTGATTTGAGACCCAAGTTTGACCCGCTTTTTTTTTTTTTTGTGGGGGGGAATATTTCATCTCTCTTAACGCCCTTGATAAAATTGACCTTATTCTTGAGTGGATATGAAGCTGAAAGTTAGATGCCAAACATGGACTCATGGAGAGCACCTTGTTTTTTATTGTGTGTATATTGTGAACTCTATATATTTCTCTTCCTTTGATATGACTTTTTCTAGGTTAGTAAATGATCTTATTTCTTATCCGATGCACGCGATGCAGGAGAATACCATACACAGTTGCTCTAAAACATAAGCATGGAGCATGTGCAGCCTTGCTGAATCCTTCATCTGCTGAGCCTCTTGTCTGGCCATCGCCTTTGAAGTTCATTAGTGAGCTTAATCAGGATGCAAAAGCTTTATTAGAGCAGGCCTTAATGGAGGCAAATAAGGAGAGGGAGAAGAGCATCTTAAAGGGGACAACTTACATGCCACCATCTCCTTCCCATTCTGATGTTGGTGTTGATGACAGCATCTCCGAGGTATTTCATCATGCTCACTTTTTTTTAGAAGGGTTTGAGTTTTGGATCAAATTGATTCGGGTTTTGGTCAAAACAGAGACATAATCCTAAATTTTTGAATTTTACCTATGCTGAAAATTATATGTTAGAAATGGTCTGAGTTGGACAAAATTTCATCACCAGAAGGAAATGTCAAATTCTAAAATTATAATATTCCACCTTGTCTTAACTTAATTTGTTGTGTGTGCGAAAGAGTAATCCATGCTGAACAAGAACAGTCAAAACTCATAATTTTTTCTATATGCTCTGGACCCTAAAATCCGCAGTTTAAGGATCCATGAACTTTGATTGTATCCAATTTCAAGTGTTCGCATATTATATCTCATCAAAACGGAAACCGACTTTTCTATATCACCATAAACAGATGCCATATTGAGAGAAGAACTGTGAGCAATTTTTATGCCACCATATTCCTCTAAAATGTTACAGATTGTAAATAGTAATGGTTATGTCTCGTTCACTGGAAGAATAATTTCATGCAGGCCAGTGACACGGAGCTGTGTTGCATATGCTTCGATCAAGTCTGCACAATTGAAGTCCAAGAATGTGGCCACCGGATGTGTGCACAATGCACCCTAGCCTTGTGCTGTTATAACAAACCAAATCCAACAACTGCATGCCTAACCGCGCCAGTTTGCCCTTTTTGTCGTAGCTGCATTGCTCGGTTGGTTGTTGCAGAGGTTAAAACCGACCAAAATACTGAATGCGATTTAAATTCCCCAAAGCTCAAAAGGTCAAGGAGGTCACGGAACTTCAGCGAGGGAAGCAGCAGTTTTAAGGGCTTATCAGCAGTTAGCTCGTTTGGCAAAATTGGTGGCCGCGGTTCAGGAAGGATTGCTGCTGAAAATGCATGGGTTGATAAGCCATTAAGCCTTGACACATAGTAAATTTGGTATCAAGTTCCACGTGAGCACCAAGGATTCAAAGTCAATTCGGACCCATTGGGGTATGTATAGATAGCTGTTGATTTGCATTGTAGATTTGGGAAATAAGCGAAGTAAAGTGATTTGCAGGTTTGGGTTGGTGAGTATGGTTTGTGTGGGTCACATTGCTGTAATCAGTTTGTTTACTTCAGCTTGAAGAAGCAGTGGTGCCTTGAAGGCCTGTTAGTTACCTGAATAGACATCAATTCTTTTCATACAATTCAATATTCTTCAATGTCTGCTACCTACTTAACCTGTTATATAAACCAACCTTGGATAGTGTCAAGCTATGGTCCGAAAAGTTGACCCCACCTACCCTACCCTTCTCTCTCTCTCTCTCTCTCTCTCTCACACACACACACACACAAAGAAAAGAGTATGGTAGTGTGAATTGTATCATTGCTTTCTTCTTAATTTATGCATAAGTGGAACAAAATAAGCAAATAAGGTACAATGACAAAGCCCTGAGTTGCAGCTGTTTGCATGTGATCATGTCTCTATAGGTTGAATTATTTTGGGTATCTATCATAGACAATCCAAATTATAAATGTACAAAAAAAGCAAGATGGGTCAGGGACAGTGGGACCCAGGATCATGATCTGATTTGGTATTGCCACGTAAGTTCTATGATCTGATATCCAGTGTGGGGAGGTGTTTATTTGAGAAGAGTGAGTTGCTTTAGGTGGGTCATGGATACCTGTAAAGGGTTAGAAGACAAAAGCCACCTAACCTGCATGAGGGCCCAAACATTAGTTGGTTCCATGTATTTGTCTATAAGTTCAATACTATTTTTCGTAACATACATTTTTATAATGAAAGCATGACTTTCTAACAGAATGGGGGAATGTAACAAATATAAAATTCTCTTTACCTTATTATTTTATAAATAGTTTGAATTAAAATTCATAGTTAGAAAACCATCATCATATAATAATTAAAAATTACTTTTCAATACTATTGAGGGATCTAGTATGCATGGGATATCGAGTTGTGTGTAATTTCTTAGTACCAACATGGATGGTATATCTTTAATCGAATCAAAGAAAAAATTAATAGAAGTACACATAAATTGATCTAAACATTTTTAACTGTTAAAAAAAAAATATTGAGTTGATTATGGAGGGTGGCGCGGCTACAGCTGCCAAGTACTTACTGTTTGTTTTGTGGGGAAATTTTGAATATGTGGTCCATGGAGAGTATATGGACAGTTTAAAGGTCTTATCTCTAAGCTTTCCGTGACGTCGACACGTTAATTGACCCGTTGGTTTGAGCCATCACCGACGAGTGGCACCCCGCGTGGGTCCAGTTGAGAGCCCAAGCTGTGTGCTGTGCTCATACTTGTATATTGGTTGTTTGACTTTGTAGGGATGGTGGGGACCACAGTTACCCAATTTACCCATTGTGTGTCGTACATTTCCTACGATATCCTTTTTTTTGTGTGGATATTTTCCGAACATAAAGGTATATTTTGGAGAAAGTATACACATTATCCACTGAAGTATGAAAGAGATTATGGTAGTCAACAATAGCCAACAATTATTTTTAGTATCATATTGAAAATCATGATTCAATCGATTGAAAATCACCTTTCCTACAATGTTAATGTTTTTTAGGTAATGTTTTGAAGATGGGGATATCATTTGGATGAATTACGTGTGTGTAAATATCTAGAGAATTAAAAAAAAAATTACCGAATAATTATTTTATGGAATTGATTCAAAGTTAAAAAAAATTATGACAAATTGGGTCATTTAGGGTTGATTATTAACGGTTATTTAGCATCAATCACGATTTTTTTTAACTATGAATTGATCTTTGATTATTCTGCAGTTGATTTTTTTGCATTTACCCAAACTGGGATGTTACTAACTCCTATTAAAATCATAATATTTGATATGATATCGAGCTCAATGCCGTAAATAATCGTTAACAAATCACATGAATAAGATCATTCAAAATATCTCTTAGAAGACTTGAATTTTAAGATGTTTAATGAAAAGTGTTTTCCCATTCAAAAGTATCCTAACAGGTGTTATTATTGTTATCCTTTCTCATTGGGTATTTCGGCAGAAGTCAAGTTTCCTTAAAAAAAAGGCAATAACTAATCGAAAATCCAGCAATTTAGTCCAATCATGGGAGAAATATCAACGTGACCAGGCTACTCTCGTCGTGGGATAGAAAATGATGCTCCGTTGTCTGTCAATCAATACAGCAGGTGGATGAATTTCTATACTGTCGCAAACGATACGCAAAAGCGACACCACGACAGATTTGATGTAGCTTAAACTTATTATATTGTTGACTTTGACTATTGTATTTTTGGATACCCTTTTATTTATCATTTTTTAGGGGTCTATATAGTGGTTAATGCCCTTAAATTTTTTAGTAGAAGTTAAAATCTGATACCATAATGGTGACTTATTTATCAGAACATCATAAATTTCAAATAGTATTACTAATCTATGACAGTTTTAAACTTATTTATTCATTTATGATGTTTTTTTTTTTAAAAAACGAGGTCATTAACCTATCTTTTTTTAAAAAAAAAAATAGAGTAAAAAATCGTGCTTTTGATATTTGGTGGGATAAGACAACATCAATGTTAAATCCAACGAATTTACTCTTTAAAAGGGGATTATTGACCTCGCTTTTTAAAAAGTATTGTAATTTAATAAATAAGTTTTAAAGTGTCATAAATTGATACTATTATTTACTCCTAAAATTTACCGTATATTAGTAAATAATTCTCATAATGTTTCCCATTATTATATCCTTCGGTGAAAAAAATAGGAGTCTAAATGTCAGCTTCTTTGGAACAGTCAAACGAATAATTGTTTCCCATTATAATATCCTTTGGTGAAAAAAACACGAGTCTAAATGTCAGCTTCTTTGGATCAATCAAACGTATACCTTCCAGTTGTTTGATCGATTCAATGCGTGTGGTAAAAATGGTGGAAAATTATTGTCTTCAAGCCGTGCACGTTTCCATGCCTGCGCCAAGCAGCAGACTTATTCTAATTGGTATTGAAAATTTTAGTAGGTAAGAATGTTCAAATTTTCGATTACTCGTAAATTTCGATCTTTCCTTTAATAGGCATGGAAAAAGTGAAACAATATTTTCCTTTCGGTAGGATAAAAATAATTACAGGTTTTGGGCTAACTGCATGAGGCAATGGAATAGATGCAACCTCACCCACAAGACTAACGTCCATATGGTAATCGCCCGCGTGCCTGTCGCAACACTGAGTCCAAATAGCATGTGATTAGACCTACGATATAAAAGAACAATAAAAAATAAATAAATAAAAAAAAGTGCATTGCCCACACAAATATTCTGACCCTTGATTTTCCAGATGTCTTTTAAATAGACCTTAGAACGTTCATATACAAGGTTCGAATTTTATGCACTAAACTCTCTTCTGCTAAGACATATTGACTACATTGCATATTGATGTGTACATCATGCAATAGTGGGGGGATGTACAAGTGGAGGTGTATTAAATTCAGATAAGCAATGCACAAACTAAATCAGATGCCTTTTGAGCTGGAAGATAACCTTTTCTTCTGCTAGTAGAGGATTTAGTAGAGATTTGTGAAGCAACAGTACAGGAAAAATGGAATTCCTCCCCAAAGCACAACAAATATGTCAACTAAAAACCTCGTAGAACACAAATTTAATCATCAATTTGTGAGACACACAACATATATGAAACATTCTTAGTTATGAAGTTGGTTGTCCACACATGCATGGAAACAGCCCTGCAACTCCATACCCATCACCATGCTCTAATCCTCTGCTCTGTCTTCTTTCAGCATCTGAACTGGTTAATGGACTTGATTGAGGAGGAGCAATGCAGCCATCGACAAATAGTGAGTTCGGTTGTGCATCAGACTGAGCCAGGGCAAGTTCATCGGGCACAAAAATTGTAGGGCTATAGCTCATTCTATGTTCATTAGCTGCTCTTCTCTCCACTGCAAGGAAGTGACCAAGTGATGGAGTGTTTTTGTTCACACTCTTAGCATCAGTACTGTCCCTTGGGCATAGTGAAAAACACCAAGTCTTGGGTCTGTAGGTCTTCGTGCCTTCTATGGTTTCTGGATTTTTTCCTCTTATTGATCTTCTGGAGAGATTTACAATGTTAGAGACACCAATAAGGCTCCCAAGTGTGGTGCTTCTGTCATGAAAGAAAGATCCTGTGGACTGCAACATAGTAAACCGGCATGACTGCATGAGAAATGTGTTCATACAGGGCAAACATAGCATGGGTAGATAAGACAAGTAGCATCTAATTCTAAAGTCTTAAGAGTGACATAAAAACAAGTCAGATCCCGTTTTGGGTTTAATTATAATGACCAGATTGGGTTTAATTACTCTCCTGAAAGAAAGAGTAGTAGCCGAGCTCACGTAGTTGGAATAAAAGGGCTTTAATTATTTGATGAGTTGTTGAGCTGATATTCATGTACACTCTCTCTCACACTCAAATCCCCCCTCCCCCAACCCAAAAAAAAAAAAAACCAACACACAAAAACATACACGCACAAATGAAAATTTGCCCTAAATGATATATGGGTTTTCTATTGCTTCGGGAGTGAAGTTTTGTCTTTGTGAAAATGGTAGGAACTAACCCCAAAGGTAGCTCAAGTGTTAACATGGACGAACTGATAGTTGAAAATCCAAACGTTCAGAGTTTGAATCTTGGCAACCCCTTAAAACCAAGTCACGAGAAATTTATCCTCATGAATACCTTAATATCGGCATTGATAGTCTGTCTTTGACCGGATTAGTGAGGATATTAGTCGAGGTGCGCATAAGCTGCCTTGAGCATTTAACCAAAAAGGAAAATGGTAGAAACTTAGGCAAGCCACCTTGAGATCCATAGTTAATTACTATTTGAGGTAAAGCAAAAGGTCTGATTGGATCACTAGTAAATGATTTAGCAAATTCACTTCTCTAGACGATAATTTTTTTTTAAGAGAATAACAATACATTTAGCCTATCAAGTAAGGGAAGGGAAAGGTAAAGCGAAAGGGAAAAGGAAACCACACATTTGTGTGGAAGTACATGCTTTTCTTTTACAAAATCAAATTTTGCCAAATTATGAGTAAACAGTAAAGACATATTTTGTACTTTGATGTTGTCAATTCTTGCAATTCAACTAGGTTTTTAAAATTCCAGCCTTATGAAAATCAACCGTATCTAACTCTTTCATTGCTCCTTTATTCGTGCCATTATGGTAAATGTCAACTCTAATATTGGGACAGAGTATTGGCTTTAAGAAATTGCAACCATACAATAAATGGAGCAGATGAAGAGTTAGGCGGTGTACATCAAACATAAATTATTGTACATTCTCAATGAATTGTTCTCACATGTAAATTTGTTAGAAATTTTTTGAGAAAAATCAATTTGTGTATCCCACAAGCTAGCATTGTAACAATTTCTGTGCACACTTGCTAACTCTACATTATATATGCTGAGAATTTTTCCATGTTAGTCTGGGGACATTTATAACCATGGAGTAACCAAAGAGTGAAACATTTCACTGACATTCGCTTGCAAGTTTATCAGAACATCACGAGAAATGTCATGTCAAGTATGTTAGTGACCAGTGCCAGCACTCGGATACTGAACATTCGACAGAGTATGGCATGCACTAAGATAACATCACAGAAGAAACATGAACGGACTAACATGAATGAAAGGACTATGGATTTTGAGACCAAACAGATAATTAGCTAATCATTAGAATTGAAGATATCCTGTAGAAGTGCTTATTTAAACCCCAATTCTATTGCATATTTATTAAAACAAGGAAACAAATTCTATTAGAAAAAAGAAAAAATATTGCTTATGCATGCAGAAAACCAGCAAAAATAAACAATGCCCATGTTGATTTTTAAAGGTTTTCTCCTCCTAATAATGCCAATAAAACTGTTTGAATTACTGTAAGTATCTTTAATGATAATCATATCCTAGTTTTTGGTTAATTTCAGATACACATCAAAGCAATGTCCGATCCTAGTTTTTGGTTAATTTCAGCTCTACTCACCTCAGTGTCCAAATCCGATGAAGAATCAGTTGAGGCACTAGGAGACCCACTGAGCAAAGTGTTGAATGATACTGATCCCGAAAAATCTCGACTTCTCACCAGCCCAACCCTGACATTCACAGGTTGCAGACCAAGAGGCCATCCCTCTTCCTGCGCAATCAAATCAGTCAGAAAAGAAGTGGCTTCAATAACCTCTAAGGACAGTACCATGAAGAAAAACTAGACCCGTCACCAGAGAAATCATAGGAAAAAAACAAAAACCCAAATGCATAAAATAGATCTATAACTACACTGTCCATGTCCATATGGGTAACTCACAAAAAAACGAGAGAGACAATTTAACAAATACCTGTTGAGCCATATGCAATACCAGGTAAAACAAAGCCAATGGGGGTGATCTCAGGACATCAGACTTAACCTCAGTGATCAGACAAAGAAAGAGAGACCTGTCATGTCTCTGTTGTTTTCAATAAACAACAGAAGTGCAGTGAAGATGAACAAGGCAAGTCT